CACAGACCGCACACTTTTTTTTATTTTGCAAGCTCCCTTGATGGAGAAAATTTTGACATACTAAAAAAAATAAAAGAAGAAAAGTTTTGACCCTCTTCTATTTTTGCACATAGCCGGCGGTGATCTGGGATGAGAAGACAGGAAAGCACGTCTCAAGGCGTTGACCACTTCTGCCTATTGATCAATGAACTTGAGCTGGACTTTTATAGGGATTGCTGTAGTGCCTTTAGAAGAGGGGATCCTAGACAGCTGGGTATGTCATTGTGTTAGTTCTCTCTGCATGGGAATGTCATCTTATTGAAGGAGAGGAGGGAGCTATCCTTTAAGGAGATCTCAATTAACTGATCAGTGGAGGACACTTCCCATAGAACTTCTCATAGATCCCTACAGACAGGTAGAACTCACATTATTATATCTGCCTATAGAAGACTACATTTGGGTGGAATTAGAACTTCTCATAGATCCCTACAGACAGGTAGAACTCACATTATTATATCTGCCTATAGAAGACTACATTTGGGTGGAATTAGAACTTCTCATAGATCCCTACAGACAGGTAGAGCTCATATTATATCTTCCCATAGAAGACTGCAGACAGCTTGGTAGAACTTTCATACCTATATCTTCCTATTGATTCCTGCAGACAGTTTTGGTAAAGCTCATTATATCTTCGCATAGAAGGCTAAAGGACATTAGAATCCCCTCCATTATTTTCCATTTCAGACAACTCATATTAATACATCTCATAGAAGGCTGCAATATAATATAACTTCCTATAGAACGTTGCAGGCAGTTGAGCAGAATTACATTATCATACCTTCGGGCTGCAGACAGTTGGATAGAACTGACTTTATTATAACTCCCTACAGAGAGCTACAGACAGTTGGGTATTATTCGCTTCCTGTAGAACATTGGGGACAATAAGGACTCACATTATTCTCACATCCCATAGGACTGCAGAGAGTTGGGTATTACTCACTTCTTGTAGAACATTGGGGACAATAAGGACTCACATTATTCTCACATCCCATAGGACTGCAGAGAGTTGGGTATTACTCACTTCTTGTAGAACATTGGGGACAATAAGGACTCACATTATTCTCACATCCCATAGGACTGCAGAGAGTTGGGTATTACTCACTTCTTGTAGAACATTGGGGACAATAAGGACTCACATTATTCTCACATCCCATAGGACTGCAGAGAGTTGGGTATTACTAACTTCTTGTAGAACATTGGGGACAATAAGGAGTCACATTATTATAACTTCCCATAGAACTCTGCAGACAATTGGATGGACCTCTCTATCTTTCCATAGAACTGCAGAGTTGGGTATTACTCCTTATATAACATTGGGGACAGTTAGGAACTTAGAACTGTCATTATTATAACTTCCCATAGGACTGCAGACAATTGGGTGTTACTCACTTGTTGTAGAACATTGGGGACAGTAAGTACTCACATCATTCTCACTTAGAAGTGATATAGAAGGCTGAACGCAGTTGCATAGAACTCTCTATAACTTCCCATAGGACTGCAGAGAGTTGGGTATTACTCCTTATATAACATTGGGGACAGTTAAGAACTTACAACTCTCATGATTATAACTTCCCATAGGACTACAGACAGTTTGGGTATTTCTCACTTCTTGTAGAACATTGGGGGTGGGAGACAGCGAGGACTCACATCATTCTCACTTCCTATAGAACTCTGCGGACAGTTGGATAGACCTCTGTATATTATTTCTTCCCATAGAGCTCTGCAGACAGTTTGGGTATTTCTCACTTCTTGTAGAACATTGGGGGTGGGAGACAGCGAGGACTCACATCATTCTCACTTCCTATAGAACCCTGCAGACAGTTTGCTAGAATTACAGTATCATAACTTCCTATAGAAGGCTGCACGCAGTTGGATAGAAGTCTCTCATAGAGCGCTGCAGGCTGCAGTCGGGTAGTACTCACTTGTAGAAGATTGGGAGGGTTGGGTAGAAGCTTCATTCACAGAGATCGCTGTATACAAGTGACTTCAGATCTGAGCAGGGGGCTGAGTGTTCTTACAGTACTCATAGACTGCTGGTTGGGATCTCAGGATTTCATTCATAGGGATCGCTGTGATGCTTCATCACGTAGCCGGGACTGTGTAGCTGCTGCTGTTGGAAGCGGTCACCTCCCTGCACCGTTGCACTCCATGTGTGCCGGGCATTCTCTGTAGTGCAGGGGGGACTCCTGACATTGCCAGCTGCAGGCAGTGAGATCCGGAGGAGTAGTCTGGACAGCTTGGGTCGGGAAAGGCGCACAGTGATCAGGGGGATTCAGGGAGGTGGAAGTGAAGCCTGTGGATGAAGACAGGGGATCGGGCATCTCTGATCTGCGGGGAACTGACGGCTACCAGTGTACTCCGCGCTGTCCCCTGTTGAAGAGCAACTGGAATCCTGTTGAACTCTCGCTGAGCCTTTTACCGATCTACAGAAGCCGCAGCTCAGACAGACTATAGCCCGCCGGAGAAGACTGATATTGTAAACTGGAAGAGCCGTCCAGACTCAGCCCTGCGGTCCGAGGAGAGCCCCGCGGAACCAGCGCCCCGCGCACCAGCCTGCACCCCATCCACCGATCTCTGCAGCAGCAGCAGCCCCCCCGGGCGTCTCATGCCTTGCCACTGATTGATTGACGGTTCCCGGTGTGGGTGCGCTCCCGGGTGCCCCCCGACTTCTTCTAAGCTCTCTGCCAGCCTATACCCTGAGCCTTGCCAATAACCCTTGGCTGTTGTGATGCATATTCCCCTAGATCCGACCACCAGCCGGAGGTTCAGCCCGCCGTCCAGCAGCCTGCAACCCGGCAAGATGAGCGACGTGAGCCCGGTGCCCGGCCCGCAGCAGCCCCAGCCCCAGCAGCAGGAAGCGGCTCTGCCGGTGCCCAGGCTGCGGGCACACGATAACCGCACCATGGTGGAGATCATCGCCGATCACCCGGCCGAGCTGGTGAGGACTGACAGCCCGAACTTCCTCTGCTCAGTGCTGCCCTCCCACTGGCGCTGCAACAAGACCCTGCCGGTGGCATTCAAGGTGGGTACTTTGTGTGTCTATATGTGTCCTTGGGGATGAGCTCTGATCACCTGTATTCTGTACAGAGCATGTTAAGGTTTAATGATCAGTCCTTGGAAATCATTTGTCCCTAGAAATGTCTTAATTCTGCTCAGCTGTACCTTTATTAAACACTGGTCCCTAATTTCCAGCACCCCAGATTCCCAACAGATTGGACCTGGCATATTGTCCATAGAGATGTCTAAATTCTGCACTCTGGTCCCTGATCTCCAGCACCCCAGTGCGGCCTCATCAGGCTTGTCCTGGCATTTTGTCCCTAGAAATGTCTTAAATCAGCTTAGCTGTACCTGATATAAAGCTGCACATTGGTCCCATATTTCCAGAACTTCTGGACTACCACATCAGGCTGGTACTGTCATTTTGTCCCTAGAAATGTCTTAATTCAGCTTAGCTGTACCTGATTTAAAAACTGCACACTGATCGCTGATTTCCAGCACCCCAGGATTGCAACCAGCGATTTGACCTGAAATATTGTCCATTGAAATGTCTTAATTCTGCTGATCTGTATCTTTATAAAAGTACACTATGGTCCCTTATTTCCAGCACCAGTTTGCTCAGTTGTACCTGATATAAAACTGCACACTGATCCCTGATTTCCAGCACACCAGGGTTGCCACATTAGGCTTGTCCTGACACATTGTCCCTAGAAATGTCTTACTTCTGCTGAGCTGTATCTTTTACAACACTATCACTTGTCCCTGAGTTCCAGCACTCCAGGCTTTTTATCCCTGGAAATGTCCCTTTTACTTCTGATAAACTTTTTTTGGGTTTTCATACCCTTTTCTCAGGATTTCAGTCTATTTCAGCTAATATTTCTAACAGCAGAGTATTTAAAGGGCCGGGGAGGTATTATACTAGAAGACTTGGACTCCAAGTCCATCAATATGTGATATAGTTCTGAGTGCCCTGAGTGAGACCGTACATGCAAGGCCCTGGAAATGTCCCTGGAAATTATAACCTACATTGTGCTAGGTTAGACACCCCTAGTAAAGCAAATTATTACCTATTAATATAGGTTAGATACCTCTAGTAATGGGAATTATTACCTATTATTGTAGGTTAGATACCCCTAGTAATGGGAATTATTACCTATTATTGTAGGTTAGATACCCCTAGTAATGGGAATTATTACCTATTGTTCTGGGTTAGATACCCCTAGTAATGGGAATTATTACCTATTATTGTAGGTTAGACACCACTAGTAATGGGAATTATTACCTATTATTGTAGGTTAGATACCCCTAGTAATGGGAATTATTACCTACATTGTTCTAGGTTAGATACACCTAGTAATTTGAATTATTGCCTATTATTGTGGGTTAGATACCCCTATTGGGAATTATTACCTATTGTTCTGGGTTAGATACCCCTAGTAATGGGAATTATTACCTATTGTTCTGGGTTAGATACCCCTAGTAAAGGGAATTATGACCTATCATTGTAGGTTAGATACCCCTAATAAAGGGAATTATTACCTATTATTGTGGGTTAAATACCCCTTGCATATCATTTTATCTAAAGTGCCTCCTAAGCTGCATATGTTCATATAGGATCAGCACCCTCTGAATACACATTTCTAGGAAGGTCCTTGTAAGTATTATACAACAAAAATAACCCGATCTAGATGGTGTTTTGTATATCATTTATATCGTTCAAAAACCTGAACCTGTCCAAAGTATCTCTGTGTGTAAACATATCAGGAGGTGAGCAGCAGCCTTCAGTCCGGGGCAACAGGCACCATTCAACCTTCCTGATTTATTGAACAGCCCCATCAGGGAAGATCTTCCCTGATTTATAACTTTCCAACACCTGTATCATTAAATCATTTTCCTACAGCTCTGATGACTCATTTTAAACTGATAATGCTCCTCGGGATTTTTAAAGTTAACACGTATGAGCGCTCCATAATTAAAGTGCCAGCAAATTAATTAAACTCAAGTTCAATTGGAATTTTATAATTGTGTATGTAGCTGTCGGAGGCCCCGGGAGAGATTACTGGGCATTATGAGATCTGGTTTTCCAGGATTCCTGTCATTTTACAAAAAGAAACAAAAACTGGCATATTGTATTGTGTGTCAATTTCTATGCCAGGAGCTCTTTATTCAATGGACCCCCCCCTCTCTCCCCCCTAGAGACTTACTTACTGCTACTAGAATGATGTACATTCGTTTTGCATAGTCTGAAATGATGGAATGTTTTTGAATAAGATTTCATTGTAAAAACTTTTAGCTGTCATCTTTGAGTTTAATACAAGTAGCAGATGTGACCCCCTAACCTGTCACGCATCCCCCCTCTGCCAAACACTTACACTGGGGTGACCCTAAATAAAAAAGAAATGCATGCAGAATTCTTACAAAGAAAAATCATTAATTCACCAATGTTTAAAGTGACACTAAACTCAGGAGTTAAATCTTCAAAATGCATTCAAGTCCCTTAACTATGAACTACAATGTATCTTATTTGTGTATCACTCGGCTGTAGATCCTCCAATCATCTCTGAGTTGGTGCTGACACTGTCCTTCCTTCTGGAGGGGGGGCTACTTTTGTTCCTCATGGTCCCTGTGTGTGTTGTAAAGTAGTCACCGCTCCAAGCTCGCTCCCGGGATGGACTACAATCTCATGTTTAGTTTACTAATTTGTATTGAGATTGTAGTCCATCACATGAGCCAACTTAGAGCGGTGACTACTCTACAACACACACAGGGACCATGGGGGAAAAAAATAGCCCCCTTCCAGAAGGAAGGACAGTGTCAGCACCAACTCAGAGATGATTGGAGGATCTACAGCCGAGTGATACACAAATAAGATACATTGTTGGTAATAGTTAAGGTCCCTGGATGTATTTTTAAGGTTTAGTTTCTGAGTTTACTGTCACTTTAAGAACATTTGCTTGAAATCATCAAGGTAACCCCCGAAAAAAAGGCAATTCGCTAGCTGTGTAGGCGTCCAGAATATATGTGTACACCATCCGCAACCACATGCAAAGAAAAAATGGCTGCCAACATTTAAAAAACTTTCTAAAGGTCACAGTCACTTTATACCAAGTTATATAATGGGGGAAGGAATACAGATCCATTCTCATGCTTTGAGCGTTGCTCTCTGGTACATTGTTATAAAATGCCTAGAATGTAACAATGCACCTAGAATGGTATTATTGGTTGGCGGATATACTTATAGCCATAAACACTTTCAGGGACACATTTTTTTAATCTGGGACTTCCCCTTTCGGCCACTGTGGTAACCCCAAACAATATTTTAAAAAAATGCATGCGGAATTCTTTCAAAATAAAACTATTCACTCACCCCAGAAGTCATAAGTGGTATTGTTATAAAGTAAGTCAGAGACACACCGTTTCCATGGATACACACACACACACACACACACACACATTTTATATATACATATATATATATATATATATATA